CTAACTTAAGGGCTTCTTTGATTTACAGACGCCTGGGGCAATAACCAGAGTAGATAACCTCACCGCCACTAGAGTATGCGTCTCAGAAAGCCCGGCTGCCCAGATGGAGCCTCCAGTGTGGCCTGCTTCATGTCACACGCGCGGGGTAACACCGCAGTGCGGACATCTGAGATCTGAGGGGAGTCTGTATCATTGAACATCAGAGCGCTCACTTTGCTCAGCTGAAGGCTGGCGGAGAAAGTCTCTTGTGGTTGTTGCCGTAAGATTATCTTCTTTAATCGTTTTTGAGCTTGTGATATTTTTTAGGAACTGTGAAGGACATGAACACTCTTGCAGACTTGAAGGGCTTGTCGTTGGAGGGGCTTCGAGGTGGCCGGAGCCAAACAGGAGGGAAGCTGGAGTCTGCCCACTTTCCACCTCCCCACTCTGCAGGCCCCTCCGCCTGCTCTGCTCCCGTGTCCTCACGCTGCCTCTTTAGGACACAGGTCTCCCTTCCCCGGATTGCTGGAAGTTATATAGCGAGGAAAGTAGGGACTTTTGATTTGACTTGTGTTTGTTTTGTTTCATTTACCACTTATGGGCCACACAGTCTCAGGCAAGTTAAGAAGCTTTTCTGAGCCTCCATTCCCTTCTCTATAAATGGAGGTGACTGATGTGCAGATTCAGAGAGTATGTCCAGAATGTGTGTAGTAGGGCCAGACTCTCAGAGGAACTCACCCCATGTTCCCACCCTCCTTCTGTCCCTGGGATCTGGGTCTGTCCTCACCCATGAGCAGCCCAGGGTCTTGACTCAGCCTTCTGCCTTTCTCATCGAAATTTGCTTGCTAATGCTTTCTGTCATTCTCTCAGGACTTCACTAAAGGGCTGGCTCGGTCATCTCTGTCAAGCTTGGATGTGAATGCTTGGATGGCTGAGATCACTTTAATGCACTCACAGTGCAAGAAGGTTCCTGAAAGTGCAGGGCTTCCACGTGGAAGAACATCCCTCTTGTACTGGGCAAGCCAGGGTGGGGAATATTTTTGGGTGCCATTTGTCTAGAACTCCTTAAATAAAGATATTTTTTTTTCCTTCATAAGAGATCAGGTATTCCAAAGAAATCTTCAGGATTTCTTCTTACTCGATACTTATGAAAAAATACTTAGGAAAAGCAACGTTGTAGGCCGGGGATTGCCTAAAACATTGATTTTCCACTTTAATGCAAGTTTGAAATGCAGATGGAATCCCAGCAACAATCCCCTGAGATTGTGATCTAACAGTTTCCCCAAGAGGCCCTTGCTTTGGGAAAGAGCAGACTAGACCCAAAGCCTTCATCCGTCCCACACACCAGACTGACAAAATGCACAGGCTCGCTTCAGTCACATGATGAGTTAATCGGAGCAGGGAGCAGGCACCGGCCAGCAAGACTGAAGTCAGTCTGCTACAGGAGCCTATTACTTGGCAAGATTCAATCTGCTCACCACCATTGCTTTTCCAGTGTTGCACAAGCAGAAGGTTCCCAATCAGTTCAATAGGAAATGGTATGAAATTTTAAAAAAGAGAAATAGAACGATATGGCCACCATAGAGTAGACGGGGTGGCATGAGTTGTCATCTAGGGAATGGTGCCAAACTTAATAGAGAAAAGGAAAGACACATTATTTGCTTTAAAATTTACTGCCACCTTTGGACCTGTTTTAGAGCCCAGATACTTTTGAAGGTAACCCATGTCAAACATGTGGGAGTTCCATTTAGCAGAAAATAGGCCCTTCCTAAGGTTCGACACGATGCTCGTGAAGGGAAGAGCATACCCTTGTGACGTGCTTTCTCAGTGATGCGCACATGTGGGGGGCTGCTTTAGTACAGACGACAGGATGCTAGCCCTACAACATCCAGCACCTTCCTTCCAGGACAAGGGGGCAGAGCCCAGAGGAGGAACGCCACTGTGAATTACAGGCAGGAGTGTCCCCCTTGTCAATCGTCTCAGATTCTGTCACCTCTCTCTGCCTCTGCAAACAGAGGTTAGAGGCACCTCCAGAAGGATTCAGACGCACCCACTTCTACAACTATTTTGACCAACTTTCTAGAGCGCACACTACAGGAGTTTCTAGTAGAAAATGGTCAGGATAAACCTTCAACTTTAGAAGGCCATAGGTTACACAGGCAGGCACAAGGCTCTCGGTTGCTGTATGAGTTGAAGCAGGCTTTCTCAGAGAAAGTCTGCATCTCATACATGTGGTTAGGTATATGTGATTTCAAGTACGAACAATAAAAACTCTCCTCTTTCAGTAATGGGAACTTTTGCCTACATGATAGCAAACACCCTGAATCATATTTTCACTAAAATAGTCACCCGATAGTCAACAGAATTAAAAAGAAAAGTTTGTATGGATGATTTTGGTATTTCCTCAGGCTCAGCTATAAAAGGACATGAAGGCTAGCTCAAACAAGGTATGAATAATCTAGGAATATTAATGGAAATCTGATCTAATACTTTGGAACTAGCTGCTTAAAAAAAAAAAAAGGAATAACAGGGTAGCTCCTGGTTAATCAACAGCAAAAGAACTAAGTTCACATCTTTTTTAAGCTAAACATGAGATAAGTTAAAATGAACCTAAAATAGAACAGAAATAAATGGAGAGTGAAGAAATTATAAAACTTCCCTCAGAACGTCAGCCTCTGCCACAGGGTGCCTTGTAGCTGGCGTGTCTGGAGACAAGAGTAGAATGCTTAAAACAATGGATGGTTCGAGTCCCTGCTCTGCCTCTTAACCAACTGGGAGGTTTTTTAGCAAATTCCATACCCTATTTGTCAGAGCCTCATTTTTCCCTCCCATAAAATGGATAATAACATACCCATTTATATTCTTTGTGCGAGTCATTGGCAGAATGCAGACCAAGTGCTAACAAATGGCAGGTACTGCAGACGTGTTTGCTATTTTAGGATCGGGAAACAGAATCGTGATCTAATACAGGGAGGAGCCAAAGCAAAGTGTGGAAGGATAACTTAGTATCCTGAAGAGGCTTCAGGGGGTAGATTCAGAATCTCCTCTTTGGAGAACACAAAGTCAGGGTTTTATTTCATCGGATGCCCATGAGGTAGCTCAGTGGCCATCGAGCATCATACCTGTTTTTTTCACTGTGCAAACTGCTTTAATCTGAAAGCCCAGGACAGATGTCCTGGGGAAGCAGGCCCTCTTACATTTGGAATGAGGGGTTGGCTTCGCCACGCCTTTTCAGAGCTAGCTTGTGACAAGTTGCGGTGTCAGGGTCAGGTGTGCGGGCCACGCGGTCTGATAGCCAGACACACATCCCCTCCAAGACCAGGGAGATCTTGAGCTAGTCATTCACTTTTCTTATCCAGGCAGTTGGGATGATGTTATCCAGGGCTGTTTATCTGATCTCAACAGCTAAGATGGGAATTTGGTTCACATTGGTGTTGATCAACAAGGAGCCACCCTCTCCCACCCTTCCCCCCACCCCGCCCCGCCCAGGAACTGGTTCCATTGCGCTGATGTCATTGGGTGGTTCTAAGGATTAAATAAAACCATGTGTGCAGTGATCTGAGCCCAGTACCTGACACACAGGAATCAATCCATTGTAATTCCTAAAGTGATCATCATATCATCATCCCCATGTCCTGGCTGAGGAGCCTGAGGTTAGATGGCTAGTTAATGGCAGAGGGGAGCCAGACCGCTGGGACAATCTTGTATCAAAGTATAGGTTTCATGGTGATCTAGCTGAAACTGTGGGCTGACAGGTAGGATGACTTGTTAGAGGTCCCAAAGCATGTCAGGAATGCAACAGCATTCTGGTCCCTGTGCTCGGTCCTAGCTAATCCGTAGGCTGCAGGTATAGACCCGTCCGGTGCTGTAAGGAACGTGCTCCTCAAACCAGGTGCTGTAAGGAACGTGCTCCTCAAACCAGGAGGGAAATTCAACCGCTCAGGGACAAAGGAGAGGCTCTGGACTTCTTGTGACATTCCCTGGTAATTATCCCTCATGGTTAATCTAGTGTTAGGAGCTGGCTGTTCTACTGGTTTCTTTACAATTACTTTAGAACCAAAAACAATTTTAGATTTAAATTTAGATTTAAATTTTAGATTTAAATTCAAGGACATTTTTCCTGATAACAAATTCCCCTGCTTTCTACTAAGTCTGGGAAGTTGGCTCGAGCCAGAGTTGGCTATGGGCTCTCCATCTCCTCCTATCCACTGAGACTTATTTTGTATGAGTCTTTGCAAAGACTGTGCTATGCCTGGAGCTCAGGGCTGCCTGGGAGGGGTGAGAGGTGAAGAGCAGGTGCCTAAAATCACGCTGGTGGAAACAGCTATGTTGAGGCTGATGGAGCTGCCCTTCGAGTGAGTCCAAGACAGACAAAGCACTGTCTGAAAGGCAGTGGTGTGGCTCTAATAAACAAAATGCCCCTTACACAGCTCTCATCCACTGCCCACCAATGGCCACGCCAGTGGGGATGCATTTTTGCCCTCTAGTATTTGACAACTTCTCAGCATATTGGAAAGAACGAGGGACTGAGAAGCATGGCGGATCTCAAAACCGGCTAACTTTAAAGGCCTGGGTCCCTCTTCATAGTCACATAGATGGATTTGTAACAGAGAAGGTTCATTGCATAGCTCTCTCTACTCCTCTTGGCTTCAGGATCACAGGGAAGATGCCAGGTTGTTGTACAGAGTGTACATGAGTTCACCAGAGTTTCGTCCCGGCTTAAGAATTTGGTTAATCTGCATATTGTGACTCTGCCATGTACCTTCTTGGGGTCACCTTTCTCTAGAACCTGCACATTCTCAACCCATTTCTCCAGTTGCCTAGGAAAGCTCTCTGAAATATGAATTATAAATATGAATTCATATTTCACACTTGAAATATGAATTATAAGACCATGAACATTGAACCTGAAGGCAGCTGGCTGCACTTACAGAATTATCAGGCTGAAAACAGGACCAGACTGAGACTGGGGAGGACCGATCGGTGAATGAGGTACTGTGAGTAAAGGGTTTTGAACTTACCTGCATCTCGGTCCCTGATACAATAGTCTGGAGAATTCTCAAAGTACACGAGGTCATTTTTTGTTGGCTTCTTAAACCTCTTGTTAGCCACAGTGAAACCAGTGCCATCCTGGTTCATGACGACCTGAATGGCCCCATTGTACTTCCTCCAGAGGTAATCGCCCGTCCTTCTGAAGTCGGCCATGGCCAGCCAGCATGTCCGCAGAGTACACGAGCCACTCACGCCGTGACACTTGCATTCCTGCTTCAAGAACCGCTTTACCGCCTGCCGGGAGAGATGGGCAAGGTCAGGGCAGACGGACGCAAGACCCGACAAGCGCTACAACTACCCTTCCCAGTGAGCGAGCGACAAGTGAGTCTGATGACAAAGAATCCCGGGACTTAGGACTGGGAGATGTTGGAGGTCACTTCTGCCATGCCACACTGACCACTGTAGGTGGGGTCCCCAGGAGAATCAGTGTGGGGGCGGGGCCTGGCCATGGACACTACTTGGCTATTGGAGCAACAAAAACTCACTAATTTGAATGGAACAGGGCACAGGGCTGGTTGGAAGAGTGAGAGAATGAATTAGAGGTCTTTTCCTAAATAAATGTGGCCTTATTATCTTAAAACTGTACAGCACTACTCGGGAATTCCTAAGCCTGCTTCTTTTGATAAGCCAATCGTAGTGACTGTGACTATTTTCTTGTTCTAGGCATTGTGCTCATGTTTCCTATGCTCTATCACAAAGACCTTAATCTTTACAACAGTCCTGTGCTACCATATTTATTTTGCAAATGATGAGGGAGCCAGTCTGAGGGAGATTAAAGTACTTGCCTTGAGGGACATGGCTGGTATAGGACAGAGCCAGGGTACACTGGAAATCAGTTGATGACCCTGAGGATACCATTCGATTTGAGAGATTATCACTCTACTCTGGCCAAATTATTCAGCTTGGATGACAGGGCTGAGCTTGCTCTTTTTGCAGAGGGAAAACCAAGGCACATGGGACCAGCCCATCTCAGCTGGCTCCCTGCACTAGCACTCCCTTTGCCGTAGGCTGTGAGGCTGGGGACTAGGAAGGACTCAGGTGGGCCCTGGAACTGGAACTGCTTTGGTCTTGGGATTAGCCAGAACACCCGTGCCAGCCCCAACACAATTTTCTGAGTGTTACGCTACTGGGCTACTGTTCTTCCCGTTATACGAGTGAGGGACCTAGGGATCAGGGAACTGAACTCTTAGGCCAGGATGTGGAATGGCAGATGCAAACCCAGACTCTAGACTCTTTCCAACTCATAGGACAGACACATAAATGGATTTCCTCAAAATATTTTCTAAGAGCATATTTTCTGATTACAGACCTTCCTGGGCTCCCTTTCTTATGTGATTTACTACTTTCACAATTGTCATTCTCCACCCCCAACAGTTAGAACTAATGTCTTGTTTAATCAATCAGTTTTCCAAATTATTATAATATTGAAAGAACTTTTTTGTTGCTCATGGGAGATCCTGACTGATGATTAGGGGTTTCCTCCATTTGTGACACCCAAAGTGACACACAGAAGGACTGTGGGGCTGACCAGCCTTGGAGGTCTCACCAAAACCATGTCTTTGCAACTTTGGCTCAGTCGTGGAGCAGAAGAGGAGAAACCTGCCTGCTGAGGGCTCCCACCCTCACGGCTTGTATCCCCAAGACAGCACCTGCCTGGGGCGGAAGGCATAGACAGAGGGGACAATGAACCTCCTTGATGACATTATCCAAGGTGGGACTGTGAACAAAATTCCTAGGGTAACACATGGAGAGAACTCTTTCTAAGAACTTAGATGGTGGATTCAACCCTGCACTTCCCACTTCCTGAGATTCTGGTAGAATTGGTCTAGTTGGGGGAGGTGGGTGGGTGGCTCCAGGATGCATCCCAGGAGGAGCTCCCTGCCGTACACTTGCTTACCCTCCTCCATGCACCCCCAAACATGCATGCACGCAGATACCAGTCTTCCAGGCCACCTCGCCAGGGTCTCACCAAGGTAACTTTGCCCAAACCTGGTTTTGCCTCTTCTACAGATTATTTCTTCTCTTTCACTTTCTTTCTTTTTTTTTTTTTTTAAGATTTTATTTATTTGTCAGAGAGAGAGAGAGAGAGAGAGAAAGCACAAACAGGTAGAGTAGCAGGCACAGGCAGAGAGAGAAGCAGGCTCCCCGCCAAGCAAGGAGCCCAATGCAGGACTCGATCCCAGGACTCTGGGATCATGACCTGAGCCGAAGGCAGCGGCTTAACTGACTGAGCCATCCAGGTGTCCCCCTTCCTTCCTCCCTCCCCTCCCCTCCCTCTCTCTCTCTCTTTCTTTCTCTCTCTCTTTCTCCTTCCTTCCTTCCTTCCTTCAATTCTATCTATCCACTTGACAAAGAAAAGAGAGAGAGTACACAAGCAGGGGCAGCAGCAGGCAGAGGGAGAAGCAGGCTCCCCATCAAACAGGGAGTCCGACGAGGGCCTGAGCTGAAAGCAGACACCCAACAGAATGAGATACCCAGGTGCCCTGATTGTTTCTTTTCTAACCAAGTGTGCAGAAAGGTTCTTCATTTCAGAAAGTTAGTCCCAAACAAGTATTCTAGAGCCGAAGGATCCAAGACATCGTGGTGGTTCTCCAGTTATGAATTCACTCACAGCCTTCCCAGTCTGGACCTCGGCACCCTGTTTCCCATTTTGCCCCCCATGGTGTATTATGCCCTGTTAGCATGTGAAATCTGTCCTCTTTAGCATAAGCCAGCCTTGAAGGGCAGGGACAGAGACATGCTGAGCAGGAGAATGTCATGAATTTGCTCCTCCAGGTCAAAGGGATCTGGGGATATTTAAGGGCTATATTAGAATAAAATTTTTTGAAAATACACTCCCCCACCTTTATATTTCAGGTGTTTGGGATGAGGTCCCTGGGTGACCTTTACAGCAGGCCTCCACCACAGACACAGTCCTAGAAGGGCCACCTTGGCCCTCTGACTGCCCCATTTGAGTCCCACCTGTCCAGGAGTTTTCTATCCTAAGATCTCAGTAGAGCTACATAGAACTCATTCCATGCCAAGTGCTTGGGAAGTTAATGCTCATTCTTCAAGGCTTATTCCTTTTAAAGCTGGGTTATTTACTCATAAACAACACTCTCAGCTTTACAAATGACAGGAAAGATTACTGCTTTCCCTTTGTAAGGCTAAGTTTCCAGGTTGCAAACTTCAAATGGATCAATATTTAAGATGACTAACTGAAGCATTTGCATATTAAAATTGGATCTTGAACATATATCTTATGAATCCTTATAAATACACGTGGCAGTGGTCCACACTGCTGACCATCACCATCACTGCCAACAGCCATTCTCCTCTCCCTTCCTAAGTTCTGTCCCAGTGCTGGGCAGCCACGTACTTCAGAACTGGCCTGGCCTCTCTCTGACCCAGAGCAGCCCAAATCAGTAACAGTAATTTCACTGTCCTGCTCCTGATTCAGCTGAGGCCAATACGATGTTAGGAGCAATCTGCAGGGGGACTTGTGAGAAAGATTTCTTCACGCTTTAAAAGAGACACGAAGACAGCTTCTTTTCTCTGTCTCTGGATGCGGGTTTCTGCAGCAGCTCCCTGGGATACGAGGCAGCCAACTCAAGACCAGCAACAAGCTGCTGATGGCGGGATGGAGAGATGGGAAGGACTGGGTTCTGGAGGATGTTGCTGAACTGCTAGAAGGAATCCACCTTGGCCTGGCCCTGCCTCTGTACTTCTTGTGATCCAAGATATTAAGTTTGCGCCCCCAGGGTCTATTACTTATAACTGCAACTATTTCAACTGGAATCATGGTCCATTCTTGATTGTGGATTAATCACAGGCTCCATCTGACAGTTAACCTTGGGGCAAAGGGAGACCTTGTCTGATGCTGGGTTTGCTCACAGCTCCAGGCCCCGCTCCTAACACACAGCCTGTTCAGGGTTCCATCACAGCTTGGGGCCTCCTCTGCCTCTGGGTTTGCAGACTTGGAATTCAAACTCTTAACCTTGAATGGGACAACACCCTGCTCAATCAGAGAGGTAGAGGGAAGGCTTCCTAAGCCGGCAGTGGTGTGATTGGGAGAGTAGCTAATGTTAACGTAACAATAAGGAAGAGAGAAACTCCCGGTGAGTTTAGGAACTTCCTAGTTGAGAAGAATTCCCATGATCAAATGTTATAATAACAATGTAACAATAACAACCACTTATCCAGTACCCTGCTGCCTGACAGGCTGCATGACAGGTGGTTTACACACATTCTCTTGTCTAATTACTACAATTAGGCAAAATAGATTATTATTCTTATTCTGTAATTAAGAAAACCAGGGCTCAGTGAGGAAAGTAAAATCCCCAGAGTTACCCAGATAGACTGGGGCTGAACTAGGGTGTGAATCCACCTCTCACTCCCAGATCTGTGCTCTTTCTAAAAATATTTAAAATCCTATATAAATTACAGAAATTTTGAATAATGCATTCTTTTGAATGAGTCAAAAATAACTTTTGAATGAGTCAAAAATAACTAAATAAGATTGCCTGCATCATGGAGAAAAAAGAGGCAGAGAGATTAACCAGGGGGTACTATATTCCATCTTCCATACCAATAGCCATCAAAAAATCTATTCAACAGGCAATTTACAGAAAAAAATATAAAGTCCTAACAAAAGTACAGAAAGATGTTCAACTTCACTAGTATCAGGAAATGCAAACTAAAAGAATGCAACACTTGTCTTTTGTAACTAGCAGATTAACAAATAGTAAAAAGTCTGATAATATTTGGTATTGGTAAGAGTATCGAGGAAGGAATTCTTTAAGAAACTGTTGGTGGAAGAGTAAATTGATACACCATTTAAACATGGAGAGGATTTCTGCAACACCTGTCAAAATTTTAAATATATGTATCATTTGACCTATTCTATTCCATTCTATTCTATTCTATCCTATTCCACTCTGGAAATATTTGCACAAGCTTTGAGGGATACACACCCACAGGGATGTTCATTGCAGCATACTCAGCAATAGCAAAATATTAGGAAAAAAGCCCAAATGACATCAACAGAAAAATGGTTAAGCAAATTATGGTATATGCTTAATAATGGAATATTATGTGAGCTTTGAATAATGAGGTAGATCAGGGGGACAGAATGAAAGGAAGCCAAGAGACGAAATGAATTGCAGAACAATATATGTGTTATGGTCCACCTTTTAAAGGCCTGCGTATGGGTGTAGACACAGAGAAAGAAGGGGAAACATGCTCTTCTACAATCT